AGAGTGCCCTGCAAGTTCAGCATTAATTGTTCCTCGTCTGCTTGAGCTTCAGGCAGCAGGAAAATTCTGTATTGGCCCATTTGTTCTGACTGAGAACAGTCTCTTGAAAGCTGATGAAATTATTTTGAAGAAGCTGAAACAAAACCTGTTGGCTCATCTGACTGGTTAATATCTGGCTGAACATTAGAACTGGAAAGAAAGAAATTTTGGAAGAGATTAGGACTTAATTATATGCATGTCTGGAGTTCTGTGCTAATACATTAAGTCCTAAATGTTTATTTTAAAACAAAATTTGCCAGGTATGAAGCAATAGAGCTTTTCATTAAAATCCGAAGTGTTGTTTATGGTGATTATGTTTTGTGATGATTATGTTTTATTACTGATGGTATAACAGGCTGTAACTTGCAGAGGAGAAACACCTGAAGGGTCTTTTACAGCCCTTCCCTTTTAGATATGTGCTTGGTTTTTTACAGCTGCTGCAGTTATGCAGGAATTGAGTATGAAAATAATGAAATCTGAATTGGATTTTTAGCCCTCTTGCTGAATCTGCTGTAATAATCTGCTCAAATACTCCTTTAGCACTTTTGCTTAGTGCTGATAATCCAGGTTTGGATTTTTGTGTGAGTTCCTGTGATGCTGTTCTGATTGCAGATCTCTCTTACAGTGCACAAGCTTTGGGTTGGGCTCTTCCCCCCTCTGCGAGCATCTCCCTGGCATAAAGGAGCTACAGGAACACTAAACTTTGGGGGAAATCAGTTTTTTGAGAGCTGTCTTCTATCAGAAATGAAATGATAAAGACAGGAGCACAGGGGGAGGGGAAGAACCTTGGCTCTTTCTCTTCAACTTTTTGTTGTGAGCATCACTTCAGTCACCCAGGAACAGAATAACCCAGAGCATCAGGTTTCATCCTAATATTGCAAATGTAGAACTGGAGCTTGCCCAGCAGACCTGGAGCCCGTTCCTCAGGGCTTTGCTGGGTGTTGTGGCATGTGGGACTCAGGGAAGGGGTGAAAGCCCCACTGATGCCAAAACGAAAAGTTCACAGCAAGGAATTCAATACTTTCAGTAAAATGTGCTGGAATATCTTCATTTTATCGTGCAGAAACCCTAAACTGCATTTAGAAAACATGACTTTTATATCAGCCTTTTATCAGTTTTAACTTCCACGTGTGGCTAATAATTTATTACTTGTAGAAATAAAAACTGGGAATGTGCTATACTTCTCCCTCTCCTTGACCTTCTAGGCTTTCATCATTATTTATAGATTACTGCAATGTATTAAAATAATTTTCTGAACCAAAAAAAGAGGGAGAAAATCTTTCAGGAGGGAAAAAAGCCAGAAGGGACATGCTGAGTGTAATTTCTGTCAGCAGATGTGCTTAATTGATCAAAATAACTGCACAACAGTGTTTGGGTGTGTTTGAAATAAAATTGTTGACCAGTGCAAGTTTTAAATAGTTCTGCTATAATTAATGCATAGCATATGTAGTCCACTTCCTGAATTCTTTTGCAGTTTGCTCCTAAAACAAAACACTGTTCCCTCAATGAACTTGTGACTTAATCAGCCTGGTAACTTTGTGTTATGAATGTTAGTGGCTGGATGCAAAGACAGGTGAAAAGCAAATTTCATGATTTCTAACAGTAGGCTGAAATAATAAAATATGAACATATGAAATTAAAGGGAGTTAATTACTGAGATGCTAACATGTCCATCTTATGCAAGGCTTCTCTACCAGAGGAACTGATGAGAGTGACAGAGGAGAAACAGCTGGAGAACACCTGGGAGGTACCAGGGCTGCAGAGAAACCTGGAACAATCTGCAGAACCCATGAGGAATTGAGAGTCAGAGCAAAGGTCTCAGCACCACCATGGGGATTTTGGGGTTCCTACAACACCAGGAGGTGTTGCTGTGTCAGAGAAGCTTCTAGAAGCTTCCAAAGAGATGCAAAGCATTGGTGAGGGCTGCACATTGTGGCTCCCCTGGGTGATGGGTGCTGTTCCTCTGCTGCTGGGATTTAGACCCAGGGAAAAGGCTTTGAAGTCAGAGGAGCTGGGTGCCAGGCAGCTCAACTGCTCTTTTAATTAAATCTGGTGAGGAAATGATACCATCTTGGCAACAACAGTATCTGCTAATTGTAACTGCTTGTTCTGAATTTGTTACTCAGTTGAGTTACACGGGCACTAAATGTTCCTCCCAACATATTTTTTCCCTCCCCTGTAACACAGTGAATCATGCAGGATTTTTTTTTTTTTTTTTTCAGTGAGAGCTGGTGCAGACCCAGCTATTAGAGGAGATTGAAGTTAAAATCAGAAATACGAGTGGTGGTCCAAATTCTGCTGGAAGTGCAAACACTCACTCCCTTGTCCAGGGCTGGTGCTTTGTTTGTTTGAACTCCGTGGTTCGGCACATTTTGGGTTGTGTTTGGGAGCTTACACGGGGTTAAACACTTGACTGAGTCAGCGTTTGGATTTCTGTCACTGTGCACAGGTGACAGAACCTGTTGGGCATGGAGCTGTTACAAGCACTTGAGCAGTAAAACCTCAATATTTCACCAGATAAATCTTTAGAACCATTCTGCTGGGCTCATTTTGTGTGCAACCGTGCTGAACTAACTCCTGGTCCAATAAGGAAATTGTTACTTGAAAAAAACAAATCAGCTCCCTACCTGATCGTACCTGCAAAGTGTGAATCAAAGGGAGAAGTGTTTTTCAGAAGCTGCAGCAATTCTGCTCAGCATTTGTGTCCCAGAAGCCACCAGTGAGCAGGAGCAAACATTGATTTGGCACTGCCAAACCAGAGGGGCAGAATCTCCAGGTGGCATCACCACACACAGGACCCTGGAGAGGTCTGGTTCATAGCCCAGACCAGGATTTTGTCTGATTTATTATCTCACTGTAGAGAATTGCCAGCCAAAAATATAAAAAGCTAGTTGTGGAAAATAAAAAATCTGATGGACCTGTGCATAAACTAGCAGAAATTGCACATTTAATGGAGCAAATGTAAATGCCTGTCATCTAAAATCAACTTGTTCCTCTTGTGTTGGAACATCCCCATGAATAATCTGCTGCAGTTTCTCTGGTTTGAATCATAAGGTCAGTAGCAAGATAAGCCCAAGAGATTAATCCCAGTCACGTCACCCCAGTTGTGCCTGGGATGTTCAACTGTGCTTTTGTGTACTCCAGCTGGGCAGGAGGGAGGGGAGCAGCCCAGCACCAAGGCTCCCAAATGCCTGCAGGAATCTGGGTTTGGATCTCCAGGTGGGAGATGGGGCAGTCCTGGAAGTGTCCCCAGGCTCCCAATGGCACAGGAGTGGTGCCTGCCAAGAGCTGGCCCTGGTGAATGGTCATTCACTCAGCTTTGCCCTATTCACAGGGACATTGGGACCTTGGCAACGTTTAAGAAATTGGGTAATGAAAGCTGAAAATCTGATTAAAAACTAATGCAGGCCTTGATTAATCTCGGTGCTGAAATGTATGCCCGAAATTCAGAGTGTCAGAGCCCTGTGGGGATCAAGGGGGCTCTCACACACGGGCCCTGAACACACAGGTGTCTGTGCACACCTGGCCTTTGTGACCTGTCTGGAATTCACTGACCACATTCACCCCATCTAAAGGGTCAAATTGTACAAAACCATGCAGTCTATCCTCAAAGGAGCGTTGCTGACCTCTGCAAAGCAAATTGTATAAAACCATCCAGCCTATCCTTAAAGGATCACTGCTGACCTCTGCAAAGCCCTGTTGCTTCCTTCTGGCTGTACATGGGCATCCCAAAAGGGACATCTTCCATTCCCATCAGGAAATCGGTCCCACTCCTCTCTGGCAATCATTCCCCTCTATTCTTTACTATTTATACCTTTGGATACTTCTGAGCTATCATCACAGTTTCAAGAAGTCTATTTTTTATCTTTCTTCCAGAGAAACCATCACCATTCAACAAAAAATATAACACCAAGGCTTTTTGATATGGTCAGTAAGCTTGGGCTTTTTTTATTCCTTGTTTTTATTTTAAATAATTATATGAAAAAGAAATTTGAAGATTTTTGCTGTCTAGTATGATATGTTTACAGTCTGCAGACCACAACTGCATTTCAAGCAAATGCTCTTGCAAACAGTACGTGTTTTATACAAAGCAGTGCAATTTATTAGGTACAGATTGATCGTCTGGCTACAGGCAAACTTTGAAAGCTGTCACATACAGCAGTTTTATTTTAAGCTTGTTACTGGCTTTAAATACAGAACTCAGATTTGTATCTGTATGTATGCCTGGTGGATGAGCTGTGGATAACCTGGTGTGTAGCCCTGAAAGAATGTGTCCTAACGCCTGGCTCAGGATATTCATTGCAAGAACACTGGAAACTCAAAGGCAAATAAAATAACAAGTGTGCTTGTGCCAACAGAAGCTGGTTTGTTTGTTACTCATTCAGTGTTAGGTGTTCAGCAAGATGCATGAGGGGTAGAGACAAAGTTTATTCTTAATAGTCATAGACAAGAATGAGCATTTATCACTGAATCAACTCTGACTTTTTACATTCTCCCAACCTCCATCTCCATGGGGATTTTTTGGAGCTGGCTCTGTTGGGTTGGCTGCTGCTTATACCTATGCCAGGAGAGAGGATAGCACTGTAACCTATGGTGCTGCTTTGTTTTGTGTATTTTGCTGGCACACACATGTGCACGTTCCTGTCAGGGTTTTTGGGAATGCCCCAGGCCAGGCTCAGTTCCCTGTGTGGATTTATCTGATAAGGGACTCCAGGCTTAGCTCCCTTTGTGGATGTGTCTGATGGGAGATTCCAGGCTCAGTTCCCTATGTAGATATTTTTGATAGGGGACTCCAGGCTCAGCTCCCTGTGTAGATGTATTAGATAGGAGACTCCAGGCTCAGTCCCCTGTGTGGATGTGTCTGATGGGGGATGCCAGGCTCAGCTCCCTATGTAGATATTTTTGATAGGGAACTCCAGGCTCAGCTGCCTGTGTAGATGTACTTGATGGGAACACAAGTGTCAGTTGCCTGTGTAGATGTATTTGATGGGGGATGTCTGTCCTTCCAGGACCAGGCTGTCAGTCTCATTGAAGGTGTCGCTTTCCCCGGCGCGGTTGCCGCTCTTGGCTCGGCTCAGCCGCGACTGCAGCCGCTCCTGCTCCTTGCGCAGCTCGGAGTAGGAGTGGGAGAAGGTGTGGAAAATGGAGGTTGCAGGGAAAGACATGATGAGGATCCCGCTGAGGATGCTGCTCAGAGCCACCATCTGCCCCGGCACGCTGCGTGGCACCATGTCCCCGTAACCCACGGTGGTCATGGAGATGATGGCCCACCAGTAAGAGGCGGGGATGCTGGTGAACTCCAGCACCCTGCCCGACTCGTTCTCAGCCAGGTACACCAGCGGCGAGAAGAGGGTGACAGCCACGCAGAGGAAGAGCAGCAGCAGCCCGAACTCCCTGGTGCACTTGCGCACGGTGAGCCCCAGCGTCTGCAGCCCCAGCGAGTGCCGCGCCAGCCGCATCACGTACAGGATCCTCAAGGCACGTAGAACCCGCAGCACCAGCCCCACCTTCTCCAGGTACGTGCTGCTGCTGCTCGGCCGGTCCTCCTCCTCGCCGGCGTCGTCCTCCGAGAAGATGAGGGAGGCGTAGTAAGGGGAGATGGCCACGAAGTCAATGATGTTCAGGGGGCCTTTGAAGAACTGACACTTGCTCCTGGCCTGGATGAAGCGGAGGCAGAACTCCAGGGAGAACCAAGCCACGCAGATGGTCTCGATGACAAAGATGTAATAGCACTTCTGGGAACACTCACCCTGGCACAGAACAGGGAGGGAAATAAACAAAAGAAAAAGAACAGTCTGTCAACCAGCATCCAAAAACACCGAGGGAGAAGCAATATGGATCTGCCTGAGTCACTGGTACCCGAGATAAACAAACCCCAGCTCACAGGTAGTGTGGCAGCTGTCCTTGGGTTGTGTACAGAGAATACTGAGCACATGAAATAGCCGAACAAACAGATCTACCAACCTGCCTCGTTTTACTGTGCTGCTTCTTCCAACCTACTTGAATGAAACCCATCTCTGTATAAAGCCTGGCATCCAGGCCAGAAGTCCTGAATAATTCCCACTTTCTGCTGCACTTGGGAATAACAAGGTTTTTTGTGCTATAGTATTGGCCAGCAGAGGTTCCCCTTCAGGGGTATGTTTTACCCTGCCCAACCCTCAGAACAATTCAGCTCTGTAGCACCGTTTGGGGATTTTTCCTTTCTGCACACTAAGCTGTCGAGTCCATATTTTACCCCTAAAATGAACCACCACAAAAGCTAATGAAGGCCTGGCAGGGTCAGGCTGTGGCTGCATTTGCAGTCAGTGCTGGAGTGCATTGATGTTTGCAGAGCTGCTGACTGGGCTTGATGAGATTGCCTGCAATCAGCACTTGTGTTGTGCAGTGCTCACTCTTTCTGAGCCCTGAATTCCTTGTACAGTGCAGCCTGGACTCTGCACAGACCTCACACCACTGATGTGGCCTCTGAATTATTCATTGCTCCCATCAAGGTTTACTTAATTTTTTGTTAGCTGGGCTGAATTTCCAGTACATCTGTTATTTGTTTGCCTTTAGACATTTGCAGGTGACATTGCTCTGAGATCATCGTGGGGTTTTCCCTATTCCTTCCTTAGAAAATAGAAGAAAAGAAATTCTGTTTGCTGGAAGGTTTAACCATTAAGATGTAGGATGTCTTTTGAACTGAGTGTGAAATTTCAAGGTATAGCAATGTAGAGGCTGTTTGGGAGATTTTTAATTCTTGCCACCCTCAGTGACCTCAGTTTTACCCATGGAAATTTATATTTACTTAGTGAAAGCAATTTATTCTGTCAGCATAATGAGAACATGCTCATTGACTTTACTTTGGGAGATGGATTTCATCCCAAGAGTTTGTATGTGAATGTTTTATATATTAGGAACATTTGTATATATTATGGAATGCACCTGACTTGATTTATATAGAATATCCCTCTCTAATGTCAGTCTCTTCAAACATCCTTCATCCTTTTGAATATCCTGTTCAAAAGCAGCAAATATGGAAATAAGGGGGGAAAGGAAATACCAAGCACCAAAGCCAATTTCTGTTTCTCCCAGTAGTTTTGAGGATTTTTACACCTCAGTGTTTTATGTTGCTCTCAGAACTGCTGTCCAAAGAACAGGCAGAACACACTGACTTCGAATCTCTGTTCTCACCAAAACACTGATGACCCTGTGTCAGTGAGAGATGTCGAATTTTTTTTTTGCCACCACATTCCCATTAGTTACTCAAATACCCTGATTCATGAAAGGCTTTCTTTGCCTAAATATCCGATAAAGAAATCTCTTTACAGCACAACAACTTCTCTACAATTCTTCTTTCTGAACAAACCAGACACCTTTGGATATTCTGGTGTTCAGCACCTTCCAACACAAACCACAACAAACTCCCTCCCTTGACCTCACCATTAACTAGAGCAGAATTCTGGGGTTTTATTTCCAGATCTTTGAGTCAAACTTTCACTGAGCTCTTTCTCCTCCTCCTGCAGATTTGTTCATGGTGGAGTTGGAGCTCTAAAAGCTCCAGGCTGGTGTGGTGCTGATTGTGAGCAAGAGGAGGAGATTCTATTCTATTCTATTCTATTCTATTCTATTCTATTCTATTCTATTCTATTCTATTCTATTCTATTCTATTCTATTCTATTCTATTCTTTGTTATTATATTTATTAATTTTTTTGTTTATAACTGACCACAGCATGTTTTAGGAGGGCTTTTTCAACAAAACCATCTGACATCAATCTGTACTCAGCCTGTCACTGACTTTGATGGGAGAACAGTTATGACAGGCCCAGCAGTGAGTATGTAACTCTTTATACTTTATTCATCCTGCAGATTTACTTTTCAGCAATGCAAGAATTTATCAGGATTTATGGAACTTGCCTCCAGCAGAAATTCTACAATCTATGATATAAATGTAATAAAATGAGTGCCTGGTATTGATCTTCTGTACCAAATGGGCATTTGGCTCAGCAATGAATGAAACAATATTTTGAGTGTAAAAAGATATTTACTGAGCCTGGTGCCTGAAATATTGAGTGGTTTCTTAGATTTATAAACCACCTCAAAGAAGCAAAGGAGTTGTTTCAAACTCCTCTATCACCAGAGATAGTCAAAAATTCAAACTTCCTTTTGATTATCCCCTCTCTGGTGTATAAGAATGGCTTATTTTCTCTATTCTTTTATGTGCTGGAGTTTATGGTGTTACCGTGAAATTGCTCATTTTAGGATATTTCTTTTAAATGCTCTTTAAATAGGAAAAATCTAAGTTCATAATAAAATAGAAGAACAGCAGTACTGATTCCAGTTAACCCAATTCCCTCAACAGCCAGAGGAATCAGGTGCCCAAGGAAACTCTCCTGGCTTCTGTTTTCCACTCACAGAATCCCAGAATGGTTTGGGTAGAAGGGACCTTAAAGACCAGGTTGCTCCAAGCCCTGTCCAACCTGGCCTTGGATACTTCCAGGGATGGGGCAGCAAAAAAGAAATTTAGTCTCTAATTGTGAATTCCAGCTAAATGTGCTTGAGATCTGTGCTACTCACAAGGTAAAAGGAGGTAAATTTCCTGGCCTCTTGGTTTGCCAGGAAACATTAATTAAAGTGTAATGATTTCTAGGATAACAAACAAAATCGGATCCCAGAGTAGTGCAGCACTAGCTTAACTTACAACAGGTATAAATCTCATGTAGTGAAAATAATATCTTTACATGCATCAATAATTTTAGTAATGCCCAGGGAGACTGAATCAGAATTTCCCCTGAAGAATATATCTCTCATCTATCCATGCTGGTTTCCAGATGCTGCTCACTTTTTTAAATGTGTTCTAGACAAGGAAAAGCTTTATCATTATTGAATAACTGTATGGCACCACCAAGGAACTACTCTTGTTCCTTCAGGGTCTGCTCTGTGCTGATCATTTGTGTCCCACCTGTCTGCACTTTAACAAAACTGACAATTAAAATATGCTTTGGAAAACTTGTTCTGAATCATTACCTGATCCACCAACGAGTTTCCTACTGCCAGAGATTTACCCCAGTACCTTTTGCAGTAGGTATTTACCCTTTATTCCCTGTTTATCTGAAGTACAATGAGGAAAGAAATCCTGTTATTACTGTTATGTCGGGTGTGCATTGCTGCAGCTGTGTGAGGATAAAATTGGTTAGGTACCAACTTTCTGCCCTGGGTGTGACTGACTCTAAGTGGAATTTTATTGGCAGCAATCTGAGCCCGTTTTCTGTGGTGTGTAATTTGGGATTTCCCACAATCTATAAACAGGGTGGAGTCTGGGAGGTAAAACAAGCAAAACTACAGCATTTCCCATGATCTCCTTCCTGGGCTTGCCAGGGAACTCTGCTCAGGATGGTGTCAGTGATTCCAAGTGGTTTTTTTGTGTCAAATGATCTATTCCCAAGTTAAATAGCAAAAGTTCCTCCAATGCTTGTAGAACACTTTGCTAATAAGCACACCTTGATCAGAATCTGGAATATTTCAGAATAATGTCTTATTTCCAGAGCCTTAGAGTGGAAATCAATATTTCAACCTCAGCACAAGGTATGTATGCTGCTTACACAGCACACTTGTGAGAAAGAAATCTCATGTTATTTATAAAGCCAAGCTGATAAAAGTCCTTGAACCCAGCTCGAAATCATGACTGAACCCCTGTGTGCAAACCCTGTTATTCCCAGGGCATGTTTAAGGGAACCAGCTGGCTCATCATCATCATCAAACAAATGAGCAGTGGGCTGAAGTGATCTGAGCCCTGCTCCCAGCCAGCTCTGCCCGAGCTGCAGCAGTGATTGCTCCCGAGGAAAGGCTGTCCGGGTGCTCCCACACCTGATGGAGCCAGAACCGGGCAGGGAAGGAGCTCGGACAGCACATGCTCCATCCTATTGGAGTCGAGGGAGTTTCCCTGAGCACAGGACCTGCACCTTCTTATCCCTCTGCAGTGGAAGGACAGGCTGCCAGAATGTCACCGTTCACAGCAGGTTTTGTTTGGCTCTGTGGCTGGTGCAAGGTCAAGGTTCACAGCTGCTAAATTTGTCCTGGCAGGTGCAGGTTTTGTTTGGCACGGCCAGGTTGCTGCTCAGATCCTTCCTGTGATGCACACCCTGCTCTGTGGACAGAGGCCAGTGTCCAGCAGAGTGGAGCAGATGGGATCAGCCTGTCCTGTGGTGCCTGACCTGCCTTCTGCCAGCCTGTGCTGTCCAGCACTTATCCCAGCAAGACTGCTCTTCCTGCAGCCTGGCCCTTTGGCCAAAACCATCCAGACCTCTAGGTGCAGGATTGAGATGTAAAACTGGCAGGAATTTCCCTCTCTAAGCCCAAGGTTGCCATTTCCTGGGTGGGGGGCTGTTTTCCAGCCTTTTGCACTGCTCAGCCATACCCGGGCAGTGCATCCTGGTCTAGAGCTTCTCCCTGAGCAACTCCCTCTGTGTGAAAAATACAAACTAATGGGATGGTGAAAAAACAAGCTTTGGTTCTTGCCTTTGCCTGCCCACAGACCCAAGGCAGTGGGAATACAGGGGAGGCTGCAAGTCCAGAGAAGGGTTAGGAGGGAGCAGAGAAAGGGCAAGACCTGGGTGGAGGGAGCTGAGCTGCTCAGCTGGCTCCAAGCTGTTCTTATCCCATTGGCAGCAGGAAATGAGCAGATCCAGGGCAGAAATCCCTTTTGGCTGTGAAGTGATGGCTCGGTTAGGAAATGTGATGCCAATCCTTGCTGCCTGCATACCTGAGCTG